TCTGTACTCAAAAATTTATAAGGAATATTTTATATATGATACATGATTTTTTAGAAGTTGGAAAAAATAAAAAAACAGAAGTTAAATAGGAGAGATAGGTTGGTCACCTTATCAGACATGAACGTCTAGTCATCGAGATATTAGAAGCAAAAACGGAAGTTAGGAGGGTTAGAGGTAGATCTAGATTAGATTACTGTTCGTAAATAGTTAAGGATGTGGATTGTTGTAGTTTTTAGAAAATGCGAAGATTAGCTCAGAATAGAAAGGAGTGGAGGTGCGTGTCCAATTAGTCTTAGGACTGACGATCTTATGATGATGATGGTTAGATGATTTTTTAAATTATTATTTATAAAATTATTGAATTATGTAAAAAATTACTTTTGCATGGGGCTGCAGAAAAGAATAATTTAAAAACATTTTTGCTAGCCAAATTACATTTGGAGTGAATTAGATAAAGTTATTCAAATTTTTGATTTTTGGTGGTCCTTGCGCCTCCGCCCCTGGCCGTACTTCAAGACACCTTTACCCCTTTACCTTCAATCCATTCATCTATTATTACGTTTGGTATTCTTTACCTTCTCTCACCTATTCAACCCGTTATGAGGGTCGGTTGAAATTTCATCTCCACCCCCTCCTCCCTCAAATTTGACAGTCATCTAATTCCATTAGGGATACACTTCAGTTACCCTGAAAACATAAAGAAATACTTTTTTTATATAATTGTATCCAAGTGAGTAATTCCATATTTTCTAATTAACTGTCTTAAGAATTATGCAGTTAATAAACGATGCTACAATGAATAAAAGTACCTACATTTTTAAAATCACCCAGTACAATGCATTCGAATTAATAATTATAAACCATTTCATTGAAAAATTAAATTGGAAAGCACACATTAAATTTATACGCGATTTAAAGTCTGTTTAACAATAATCCACAACCTCTCAAATAGTTTACAGAATCTTTTAGGCAATTTAAAATATAAAATAAAAACCCGAGAGGAAGCTGGAATTAACAATATCAAATGTAAAAATTGCTGTAAACACTAAATGTTTAGGACAAAAAGACGTAAATTTACGAAGCATTTAGCTTATCCTAGATGTAACAGAATGTAATAATTTTGTGTAATTTCCCGTACATTTGATACCTAATAACAAATAATAAATTATAATTGTTTAAATTTAATTAAAATTGAGTCTGATTGAGTGAACCAATAGGGATGAAATAAAATACAAATCTTAGCCTAAAACTTAAATTCTAAGTTCTTCTGGAAATTATGTCTGAATTAGGCCAGTAGTTTCTATCTGATACACACACAAACAAACAGACAACAGACAAAAGTTTCAGAAATTGTCTTAGTACATTTCATCACTTTGATACAGTTTCCTCCAGTTACTAGTTTTTAAAAATATTTTATAAAAAGTTGTTAAGAAACTGCTAGAATTTTCCGGAACTTTTTTAGGCAGTTTTTTGAATTTTTATTTCCGGTGTGTTTCTTACGTGTTTTCTTGCATCAGTTATTTTAATTCTGCCACTTTCTTCTGTAAAAGATTACGTCAAATAATTATTTAGGTCAAAGATGCTTGAAGGTTGATTTCCTTTCTATATCATTTTTCCGACTTTTGTAAATATTGTAAACAAGTAAGCGCTGGAAGGTCATTGTTGTCATCTATGAGTACAAAATAATAGAGTATCTTTGATGCTCATTTTCTTGTTCGTTCATTAAGTAGAAGATGAGTCTTCATATGCAAATTTTTGTCTTTGTCACTTACCATGTTGTTACGCACAAGGCCTTTGTTCTGGGATTTCGTTAACTGCACTGATGAGGCAATGACCAGAGCTAGTACAATAATATCGTTGATACTATTAAAGCATTAATTTATGTTCTTAGAATCCCTATTAAAAATATCAAGAAAAAGCAATCAAAAGTTAATTACACTTTAGAGTAGATATTACACAGTGAAGCGTTAAGTATGGAATATAATAGCATATAACCTCGCAGGGGACCTATATTACATGCGCGAAAACTATTTGGTCCTATAGCTTTTGAGTTTTAAAAGAAAATTGTTATTTTTGAGAAGCTAGATTTTCAGATTCTAATCGTGTCTTATTAATGAAATTCCCATGACGGATTATGATGACCTTGACAGTACTCAATGTTTTGTATCCTATCATAAGGTGCATCTTCAGGATCTCCAACGCTGTTACTGAACTGACCCGAAATCTTCTGACAGCGGCTTTGCGCATGAATGGTTATACGGTCATATTTCAATATCCGTTTTCAATCATTGTCGAGGTGGTACCCATCTTCCATGTTGAGATTATTCGGGTGTTTGCAGATCGCAGGTGCTTCCTTGATGATCCTTAAAAAGTACTGGCGCTCTCTGACCAGTATATTGGATACATTGCATTGGAATTGGATATCGTATTCTGAGTCCTGAACATATTCTGCCAAGGCTGATTTACTGTATTGTTTCAGTCGAACGGACCTCTCATGTTCTTTTATCCTTTTTATTGCGATAGGTCTAACTGTTTCCGTAATGTAGACCTTTCCACATGAGCATGGTATCCGGTAGTCTCCATCAGATTCCAACAGAACACCATCCTTCACTCCGGTCAGCTGGTCAGTTTACCATACCTTCCTTCCACAAAATTCGATTGATTTTGTTCGTATTTCCTTGAGACGACAGTCGAGAAAAGTTAAATCAACTTCTAACACTCACTTCGTTCGTGGTGTCGCTAACATGTTCTGCCAAGACTGATTTGCTGCATCTACCAGTTTCCCTGATGCAAACCTTTCCACATGAGTATGTCATCCAGCAGACTCCCTCAGATTCCAGCAGAAGAGCATCCTTCACTCCGGGCAGCTGCTCTCTAAGTTTACTATACCTTTCTTCTCCAGAATTCGACCGATTTTGTTTGTACTTCCTTCAAACGACAATGGAGAAAACTTAAATCAACTTCTAACACTCATTTCGTTCGTGGTGTCCTTAACATGTTCTGCCAAGGCTGATTTGCTGTATTGATTCAGTCGGACGAACATCTCATGTTGTTTCATCCTTGTTGCGGTGGATCTACCAGTTTCCCTGATGTAATCTTTTCCACATGAGTATGTCATCCAGTAGACTACCTCAGATTCCAGCAAAGCAGCATCCTTCACTCCGTAAATCTGCTAGGTAAGTCCCATGCAGCCTTGTGAGTGCCAGTGAGACGTCAAGTGAGAAATAATGGGACTCTCATAGTTTTCCATTCCGTCATTATTTAAATGGTACTTCTGATTGTTCTAGTATCTCTAGCTTTTCCCACCGCAACTTTATAAACTGAATAAGTGAGGAAAACTACCAGAACTTCAATGACAATTATCAGTTATTAATGGTGGTTGACGGACAGTCTCACCGGATTACGTCGGAGAGCACGGCGGAAAACCGTCTTCAGTCTCTTTTTAGGAATCGGATAGGTGAGAAAGATAAAACGAACTAAATGAAGACAGAGTGAAAAATTATCTGTGGATTATTACTGCCCCAGGATTTGCAGTCAATTGTCTATATAATTACAGCCTAAATTGAAATTGGTAAATCGATGCAGCCACGGGTGTTGAATTATATACTGGAACGCTGAAATATGTACGTACCTGCGATATGTGTATGCGTGAGTGCAATTGAGGATTGTCGCATACTCCGTAATTCCAAGTTTCGAGATGTAATCAACTCGACAAGTCAATTTAAAACGCAACAAATTAATTCCTTAGTTGAGTTAGTGGAGGCACCTACTACGAGCTACCCTTGAATTGCTGTGTGGCGTATACGATAAAGAGATTCGGGTGGTGACATCATAATCTTCTTTGCAACTAATAAAGTCCTTCGTGAGATTGCATGAGCGAACGCAGTAATATCTTCTACGTTAGGTTGTCATGACTGTAAATAACCACCAACACGTGCACAAAATGCATGCTGCTGCAATTTTCTTCTGTTTTGTTGTGTTTTCGTTTTTTTTATTCTTTATTTCGTTTATAATGAGCATGTTATGACGTAAATCTGTTTATTTGTAAATAATACATTTTTTTAATTTTCGTTTTCATAATATACAGGCTTTTGATAAAAAAAATGTTTTTATAAATTTTTTAAATGTTTGGTTTCTTTGTTTAATTTTAGGTCGACTTTGTTAACAGTTCCCTGTACTTATCTCTAGTGTTTTTTAGATAACCAACTGTTTTTGAAAAAATTACGATTTTAGCTGTTTGAATGAAACCAAATTGCTTCTAAACCATAAAAGTTAAAAGCCTGCGATTTGGACAGTTCGTTTTAGCACGAATTACCGTATCTTTTCTGCTATGGGCAAAATGTGTACGTTATTCAGAGCCGGAAATATCGAAACCTACTTTTCACAATCTTACAAGAAAAATAACTTCTTTTTCAAATGGAATGACCCATACTAAATGATACCGTTCGATGCGAAATTAAAAGCTCTTTCTATTGACATAACGTTTTAAATATAAAATAATCAATTTTTTCTGGAAAAGTGTTAGAGATAAATATTTAAAACCTTATATCAGTAGAAAGAGCTTTTAATTTCGAATTGAAATGTATCATTTAATATGGGTCATTCCGTTTGGAAAAAAAAGTTATTCGTCTTATAATATTGNTCTCGATAAAATTATTTATGGTTAAATCTTCAGTTTTTTATTTACCAAATTATAAAATAGATACATCTATAATACTTCAAGTTTACTATTTTAGATTAATACAAAGTTACACTATCCCTAAATAATAAACCTTATCTGTATTCTATTTTTATTAAAATAAGGCTCTAGTTCGAAATCTCAATATTTGTGAATCAAGTGTGTAGTCGAACTTGCTTCTTTATTGTTTCTTTTTATTAACTTTTTAATATTGTTAATTATAAATGTTTAATATGAAATATTATACTGAAAATTCAACTGAATGTTTTTCCCTACTACACGCTACCTCAAATTTATGAGCGAAAAATTGTTGCTGTTATCACACCCCCGCCGGGAATCGAACCCGGGACCTTTGGCTTTCCGCACCAATGTTCTACCACTAAACTACGAGAGGTGACAACAGCAACCACTACTAACCGACCTACAAAGTTAACGATCTGTCGAACTGATGTAACCCTCATTAATTTGAGGTAGCGTGTAGTGGGTAAAAAATTCAGAAATTGAATTTTCAGTATAATATTTCATATTAAACTAACTCACTTCTAAAAAGATGACTAAATTGTATGTTTTTTATTCCTTTCCAAAGTTGTTTTTTGAAAACTGTAATTAAGGTTTAATAAAATAAGACGAATATAAATTAACCTCTTTATGAATTGAATAATTGGAAGAAAAAGTAAAACGTTTAATTATTTATTTATAGTGGTGTGAACTATTAAAATCAATCATTAAATTAATAAAGAAGTTAATGACACGTGTATCCTAAGTAAATGATACTAGATAGATAATTCAGGGTTAAGTCCAAATGCCAATTTAAAATGTTGCGTAAGTTATATCAATGTAAAACCGTGCTTTTACTTTCATCTTCTTCATTGTATTTCTGGTAATAAATTATTTAATTCGAACGCAGGTTTTATATTTCACGGTAATATGTAATTTACAAGGCAAACCATGATTGATTGATCGCCATGGTTTTCGCTTTTTACTATATTTAGTTTNAATGATAATATTACTTACTCTGTATCATTTAATTCTTCTAATCAAACTAACGTTACAAAACGGACAATACTATCGGAAGTCTCACAACTTTTTGACCCTTTAGGTTTGCTAGGACCAGTCATAATTTTAGCAAAAATAATCATACAAGAGCTGTGGAAATGTAAATTAGATTGGGACGAGTCAGTTCCACAGTCAATATACACGATGTGGCAAAAATATAAAGGAGAACTCTCTTTTTTAAACAATTTCATGGTACCGCGTTTACTATTCAATACATCAGGTTATCTCCAATTACATTGTTTCTGTGATGCAAGCGAAAAAGCCTACGGTGCTTGTATTTATGCTAGATATGCGGATAAATCAGGTAACATAAGCACACAATTAATATGTGCCAAATCTAGAGTAGCCCCTTTGAAAACAGTATCTTTACCGCGACTAGAATTATGTGCAGCAGTACTACTGACAAGACTTTATAAACAAACAATTTCGGCCTTAAAAACAAAATTTGGTACTATAAAATTCTGGTCAGATTCAATGATAGTACTGCACTGGATAAATACTTCACCGCACAAACTTAAAACCTTTGTAAGTAACCGCGTAGCTGAAATTCAAAATTGTACTGATTCTAAAGACTGGTTACATATTTCGTCAGCAGATAATCCTGCTGATTATATATCACGCGGGCAACAACCATCAAACTTTATTTCTAACAAAATATGGCTTCACGGGCCTTCTTGGCTTTTAAAAAATGAAAAATGTTGGCCACAGAGTACAATTCGATCAAACTTATCTATTCCCGAGCAGAAAACTGTAGCTATGGTCTTGGCCCATACTAACCATGGTAACTTACTAGAAAGGTTCTCTTCATTTAATAAACTTCAAAGAACGTTAGCATATGTATTACGTTTCATTGCAAATTTACGTCAGAAAAATACATATACAGGTCCACTTTCGTTGTTAGAACTCGATGCCTCCCATACTCGTTTAATGTGCCTAATTCAAATAGAAACGTTCTCTAAAGAAATTCAAGATCTTCAATCAGGATCTCCTGTAAACAAAAGGAGTAAGATTGCATCTCTCAATCCATTCATAGATGACCAGGGCATTTTACGTGTCGGTGGAAGATTAAGAAATTCCAACTTAACATTTTCTAAAAAACATCCGATTTTACTTCCACGTTCTCACCACGTAACTCGTTTGATAATTCAAAGAGAACATGTACGGCAAATGCATGCAGGTATACAATGCACTTTAAATGCGGCTAGGCAGAATTATTGGCCCACTGATGGCAAAAATACCACGCGGCATATAATTCGCAAATGTATTAGATGTTTCAAGGTAAATCCATCGTCAAATGCTAACAAGTATTTAATGGCTGATCTACCAAAAAGTAGAGTTATAGCTTCGAAACCATTCGAAAATGTTGGTATTGACTATTGCGGACCGTTTTTTATGAAAGAAAAGGAATACAGAAATACTAAGCGCATAAAGGTCTACGTTGCAATCTTTGTTTGCTTTCTAACTAAGGCTGTCCACTTAGAGCTTGTTGGCAATCTTACAACAGAATCTTGTTTGTCAGCGATCAAACGTTTTTTGGCTAGAAGAGGGTTATGCAAAAATATATTTTCAGATAATGCAACAAATTTTATTGGCGTAAAAAANAATTGCTTTCTTACGTCTTTCAAGCCGGAAGACAATTTTTGCGAAATCAAAAAGTAATTAAAAATAATTTTCCGTAAAATTTCCGTGATGCTCAATATTCTGTCTCATTATTATTTATTTGCAAAGATCGAAAAGTAAATATGTAATAAAAGATTCACTAATGTGTGGAGCTTCGCATATTTGCGGATAATTAACAGTAAAATTCAAACTTTGTTATGTTGGGCTGCTATATTTCTTTAATTCCTTTTAGAAAAATTTTAAATTTACACAAAAAGGGATGAATCTACATTTAAAGAAATTATGCTTTTTTAACAATTAAATATATACTGGAACGCTGAAATATGTACGTACCTGCGATATGTGTATGCGTGAGTGCAATTGAGGATTGTCGCATACTCCGTAATTCCAAGTTTCGAGATGTAATCAACTCGACAAGTCAATTTAAAACGCAACAAATTAATTCCTTAGTTGAGTTAGTGGAGGCACCTACTACGAGCTACCCTTGAATTGCTGTGTGGCGTATACGATAAAGAGATTCGGGTGGTGACATCATAATCTTCTTTGCAACTAATAAAGTCCTTCGTGAGATTGCATGAGCGAACGCAGTAATATCTTCTACGTTAGGTTGTCATGACTGTAAATAACCACCAACACGTGCACAAAATGCATGCTGCTGCAATTTTCTTCTGTTTTGTTGTGTTTTCGTTTTTTTTATTCTTTATTTCGTTTATAATGAGCATGTTATGACGTAAATCTGTTTATTTGTAAATAATACATTTTTTTAATTTTCGTTTTCATAATATACAGGCTTTTGATAAAAAAAATGTTTTTATAAATTTTTTAAATGTTTGGTTTCTTTGTTTAATTTTAGGTCGACTTTGTTAACAGTTCCCTGTACTTATCTCTAGTGTTTTTTAGATAACCAACTGTTTTTGAAAAAATTACGATTTTAGCTGTTTGAATGAAACCAAATTGCTTCTAAACCATAAAAGTTAAAAGCCTGCGATTTGGACAGTTCGTTTTAGCACGAATTACCGTATCTTTTCTGCTATGGGCAAAATGTGTACGTTATTCAGAGCCGGAAATATCGAAACCTACTTTTCACAATCTTACAAGAAAAATAACTTCTTTTTCAAATGGAATGACCCATACTAAATGATACCGTTCGATGCGAAATTAAAAGCTCTTTCTATTGACATAACGTTTTAAATATAAAATAATCAATTTTTTCTGGAAAAGTGTTAGAGATAAATATTTAAAACCTTATATCAGTAGAAAGAG